CTCCTAGATAGAGTGAATTTAATTGTGGTTGAAAGAGAAGTATAAATATATAAAACTCTGATACCGTATTAGTTTGTACACAAACAAATCATGTCACACTCCAGCAGGACGTAATAATTAAAATAAAAGGTCTGTACTTAAGAAGTATTTGTATTTCATGAATGATATCATTGCATTTGGCTGCAGTCCTCAGATTTCCATTTTGGGGAAAAGGTTTGGGCAGCCATGATGTATATAAACTGAAACAGCCAGACTAGTGCATCCTAAATTTAACTTAATTAGTTATTTTAATACGACAGTCATTTCTGCATTTGTTTGGAGGGAGGTCACCTCCTAATAATTGTCCTTACAGAAAATCTAACGGCTCATTTTAATTCAATATGTTTACTTTTAATGTTTAAATACAAAAAATATCAGTTACTTTAGGATTTTACTCAAGTAATATTCCGAAATGAGACTTTAACTTTTACCATAGTAATTTTTTTTGGAAAGATACTTGTGCTTTTACTCAAGTATCACTTTGTGGTACTTTATACTACACTGATAATCCCTCCAATGAGCTCTGGGTCCCTGAGTCTGGCCATCATCTGTGAACAAGAGGCCCAGTAAATTATTAAAAAAAAAATTAATTGGTGACAAATTGAATACTGAGTTCCAAAAGGCTACACTTTTGCCTATAATCTGCTCTGTTGTTCAGTTTATCATCTGCATAGGTATGTTTTTACTCTTGTCTGTGAGTGGGTGTTAGCAAAATATCTCATGAACCAGATAAATATCTATGATTGGCTGCCACAGCTCACTGAACAACACAAAAAAATGGCAACTCAACCAGTTTGACAGATTCTGAGCTAAAACTTGACGTGGTAGCTGACCACTTTTCAGCTTTTGTCTGTTTTCTGATTGCAGTCTCCCTGTCAGCTTTTTGTTCCGGGGTCCCTTTTTATTATTTGTATAAAAGAAATATCCCTGAAAACGAGCGAGCAGTAGTCTGATCCCTGATGATTGTCGGCRTTTATTAAATATTCTTCTTGTTACAACAAAACAAAAATGCAGAACTGGATTTTGGACAATGATAAGCTTGACGGCCGAGCAGCAGTTTGAAGAAGGTTTATTAAAAAGTCTCAGTCTCATGAAACACACGTCACAACCCAACCTTCCTCTTATAACCTCTGTGTTTTTATTCTTTTTTGTTGTTTCTGCAACAACTTCAGCAAAAAAGAAAATAAAATTCTACAAATTTAGCTTCATCAATCAGTAAMTTTAAAGATGAACTCAAATGTTGAAGAGTTGAGGTGAATAAAGTGAGGATGTGTCAGTTCATTTCAAGTGAATGGGACACAGCTGTGTGTGAGTCCACTTCATCTGCAAACACAACAAGTCCTGTGAGGAAGAGGAGTACTGCCGGGACAGTGAGGGGGGGCTTTTCTCCTTGCTTCTTTAAGATGGAGCGTCCACATTTACCTCCTTGTGGTGCTGAAACTTTCCTTAAGGAGTTTTAAACTGAGAACTGAAAAAAAGGGGCGAATTCAGGGGTGTCACCAAGGTGGGGGACCAGTGGGGTCAATGACCACCTCTAAAAACATGGGTGGTCCACCCCACCAGCCAGAAATGAAAAATGATTGACCAGATACTTTTGCTTGGTGAGCATTTTTAATTTGAYGTCAACTTTAAATACAAATAAGGTCCTTAAAGAGTGAAAGTTTTCTCAAAACATTAAATAACACTGACGTTTTGATTTTTCAAAGCCATTTGAACCATCAGTGTTTTATTATTTGTTTCACTCCACGGTCACCTCTGTTTTTTAACAGTGCCAACACACCAAGCTGTTTGCTCAAAAAAAAGTTTTAAACCCTGATAATCAGTTCTTTGGTATAGAGGTCATGTCACTCCAACCTGCAGACATAACTTTCTGTGACGTCTTTGTTTTCCATAGCTGCTGTTCGGAGGCCTAAAATCTGTGCAGCTGATGGTGGTGACCTTCTTGCTTTCAAACTGATTACAGAATATTTATCTTTTATTRTTCTTTTCCTAGTCGCCAACAAGCAATCTCAACAAAACATTCGGATATTAAAAGACTTCACGCAAAAGTCGTCTGCAGGAATTATTTCTTAAAGCGTCCTTTATTGTCCGTGTGATGTGTCGCTGCGGGGCTGGAGTGGGGTCTTGATGAAAGAGAGGCGTTTGTTCACACACTTCCTCCTGCTCGCTGAATCAAAGGTCTCTGGGTTTAGAACCACAGATGGACCCAGACTTCTGAATGAGTTTATTGATCCTGCTGCCGTCTCTCTGGCACTGAAGCAGCTCCCCCCACAGCACAGTAGATGCCACCTGCCGCCACAGTATAGAGGGTCTTCACTGAAAACGGTCACAACTAAGAAGCAATAAACAACTKATGTCAAATCACCAAGTTTTGCGATATTTTACATTCATACTCACATTCAAACACTGCTGGTTTAAGCTACATTGTTGATTGATGCTAAATAAATGAGCTGAATTGTACAGATCTGCAGTTGAGTTTTCCTTCACAACGGACTCCTCTTTAAGGTGAAAAGTTTGATTATCTGGAAGGGACTCGKAGTAGACCTGTTGCTCCTCCACAWCGAGAGGAGCCAGCTGAGGTGGTTCAGGATGGCATCTGTGTTCTGTGCAGGTCCAAAACTGTGAAGCCTACAGCCTGCCTTGGACTCCTCTCTGGAAGAACTAGAACAGGTGTTTGTAGGAAGAGATGACTGGACTTCTACCTGCTGCCCCACAAAAACACACTCTGGAACAAGTGATGGATGGATGGATGGATGGATGGATGGATGGATGGATGGATGGATGAATGAATGAATGAATGAGTGGGTGGGTGGATGGATGGATTGATTGATTGATTGATGAATGAATGAATGAATGAATGAATGAATGAATGAATGAATGNGATGAATGAATGAATGAATGAATGAATGAATGAATGAATGAATGGATTGATGAATGAATGGATGGAGGGATAGATGAATGAATGAATGAATGAATGAATGAATGGATGGATGGACGGAGGGACAGATGGATGGATTGATGAATGAATGATGGATGGATGAATGAATGACTGAATGAATGGATGATGGATGGATGGATGAATGGATTGATTGATGAATGAATGAATGAATGAACAGATGGATGGATGGACAGATGGATGGATGAATAGATGGATGGATGATTGGATTGATTGATGAATGAATGAATGAATGAATGAACAGATGATGGATGGACAGATGGATGGATGAATAGATGGATGGACAGATGGATGGATGAATATGGACCGTGTCTGAAGTGAATAATCTGCTTCATTCCTTTATTAAAACCTGTCATGTGTTGAAACTCTGATTATATAATAAAGTCTTCATCCTCCCATCCAAACCACTGAACCAGGACCTGGTTCTGGGTCTAATGGGCACATTGTTTGAGCTGACTAGACCCGCCATTTCCCCCTTCGTCGCTGGTTTTCTTTCTTTCTCTGAAGCGGAGCAGCACTGGCAGCRGGAGTAGGAAGAGGAGGAGGAGGAGAAAGAGGAGGAGGAACCGCGACGACGACTTGCGGAGCGGCGGAGGCAGGATCCGGCGATCCACATCGGGATGAGAGCGAGACACAGACCCGGGTCGGATGAGTCAGCGAGCGGACCTTTCCCCTTCTTTTTTTTAAACAACTACACTAAAATCTGAATGAACCCGGACGGAGTCAACGAGACAGAAACGATCCAATATTTTTTTTATTTTTGATAATTTTGTCGTCAGATTCCGCTTCCCTTTATATTCCGCCCTCCTCTGGTCCGCGGCTGCCATCGTCTAGTTTTGATTTTCATTTCCACCGAGAGAGGTGGGWAAAAAGAGGGGCTCGGAGAGGCTTCGGAAGAACTGGACTCTTGACATTCTCCTTTAAAAAGAAAACCCCGGTAAAAACTCCTGGTATCGGCTCGTAGCCTCGCATTTCTACGCCTTTTGTTGCGGTGAGTGAAGCGAAGATGTCTGGACAGAGCATTACGGACAGGATAACTGCAGCCCAGCACAGTGTAACGGGATCCGCCGTGTCGAAAACAGTATGCAAGGCCACCACGCACGAAATAATGGGCCCGAAGAAGAAACACTTGGATTGTGAGTATCATTTCAACAGCTCGTTGTTGTTAAATGTAAACCACATCGTTTTCCTCTCCAATGAAACGCCGAGCCAACAGAGTTATGGCGATGGTGGAGCCAGAAGGCCTTAAAGCCTKTTAGCGGTGGCTAACATGCTAGCATTGCTAGGCTACACGTTAACATGCTAATATCAGGGAGATTACACTTGTTTTCACAGCGACAACAGGCTTTGCTGGCACAGTGCTGTTTGGTTATTTGGCTGATTTAAAAACTACAACTGCCTTTTGTTTATTTAAAACAAAAAAGTTTCTTCTCATTCTAGTTCGTTAGCTGTCCAATTAGCGTGTCGTGCTAACTGCTATTCTAATATTCTGATTCATAGCTTGTGTTTTGTAGCCTAACTTAGCGAGGTTGAAATCAATAAATACACATACTTGTCTTGAGCTCCACAGCGTTCTCAGACCCATAAAATCAGCGTTTTTCAATCKTACAGAAGTGGTTGAGTAATGTGAAACCAGCTGTGTCTTTATGGCACTGATTGACGTGACACTATAAGGGCAAAGATTATGGCTGAGGTCTGCAGAAAGTGTTTCCTTCCTCATTTTGGTCATGAAGACGAAACAACCTGCTGCTGCAGAACCCTGATATGAAGTTTTATGAGCAGTCCAAAGAGTCACGATACTGTCAGTGTTTTACCTCAAGAGGCATATTATTGTATGCACATATGTTTACACTTGCAAATGTACAGTGACAGTAACAAGAGGTTATGTAAAAAGGCCTCTGCAGTGATGATAAAAGTTCAGCCACACCGTCCCTGTGTGCATTGTGCAATTTGCCAACTCATCACACTGCTTTGTGAGTTAGAACAGTTTAAAGTGCTACTATAAGCTGTTCATAGTGGTCATTGTGCTGTTTATTTTTGATGTTTTAAAGTTGCAGGTTTCACACGTGTTGTGCTGCTGAGCTGAATCCACCTGTGGTGAGATGAGTGAAAGTTGGCAGGGTGACACACTGTTGGCTTATCCCGAGGCAGCCTGTGGTCCTGTGTGACTGACACACACACAACAGGCAGAATGTGTGTGGATGGATAATTACTGTCCTGTTTTTATTTTATTTTATGTTAACACGTTGGAGAAGTTAGTTGATTTGGCAGCCAGGTGATCTTCGGTACAGATTTGATTTTTGCAGAAATTTCTTTTTATTTTGATGTAATAAAGGGTTATGTTGTACAGTTAGATTTGGACAGATTTTTGTTTTTTTACGTGTTTCAGATTGACTAATTTACCGTTTTAATGTATCTTTTATCTACTGCTGCCTCGGGTAAGGGTAATAATGTTTTTGCCCATCTGCATGTGTGTTTTTCTTTGTAAAATATCTCCCAAACCATTGAACAGAAACTCCTAAAGTAGCTCTTGGATGCACTTAGACATAAGTTTTGAAGTGAACCCCACTGAAGATGGCCACGACTAAGGAAACTTCAAATGTCTGTAATCAATTCAACAGGAAAAAGACTAAAATTGAGTGTGTTGGAAGCTGAGAATCCCCCCCAACACTCAAACCAATCGCTACACATTGTGTGATATTTTTGCCCTAAAACTTTCATGAACTTTTAGTGTCAACCCTGTCTGTTTAGCTAAATATCTCATGAAACAATGGGCAGATTTTAGTGAAAATCTCAGTTAATAAGGGTTGTACAGTGGTCACTTTTTGAAGTCAACCCATTTCAAGTTGGTTGCCACAGCTAATTTACCTTAGTCAACCCAGAAACGTCTATAATTTTTCAATTCTTCTGCTAAATTTGGTGTGGTAGTAGTTAAGAGTCATCCTCAACACATACTCTGAGATCGAACATGTTTCTTGATTTCTCATTTGTGTCTGTCATTTAATCAATCRATCAAAACTTTTTATATAACACTTTACACTCCCTAAGGCAACCAAAGTGCTGCAAAGTATGACAAAAAATACAGTAATGGTGCGTTCACACCGAACGCGATTTCAGCGTCAGGAGCAGCAGGTTTACATACAAAGTCTATGGTGGACGCGCTTCAAGCAACGTCGGGAAGTTCTGCGGCGCCTCAAGCGCGATTAGAGCAGCGCGATTTGGACGATTTGGACGATCTGAGCGTCGAACGCTCAGATCGTCCAAATCGTCCAAATCGCTGAAGTTAGAAAATCTGAACTTTTGCAGCTCGACGCGCAGCGTCAACCAATCAGAGAGACTCCACTGTGTGACGTAGTGACATATTTCCCGACGGGACAGTTTACTGAATGATGTCCACTAACCTGAAACAGACAGAGCTCCTGCTCTTTAGCTGAAATGAGTGCTGCAGTCGTGTCCTGATCCGCAGCAATGCGTGGCAGCGACTCATCAGACTGAAAAAAATAGTCCTGAAAGCGAGCTGTGAGCCTCTACTCTGAATTATCTGGTGAATCAATTATGAATTAATTATCTAATGAACGTGACACGTTCTGGCTGTCTGTAAATAAAGCAAAGCCACTTCCTCGTCCGACATTAAACAGCCCCACAGAGGAGGGAGGGGCGGGGCGGCTGTCGCCGTGCAGCGCAGCTGTCCTGCGTCTGACCTCAAAGTGCACAAGCTTCAAACTTCAGCGTTGGCTGCGATTTTGACGCTGAAATCGCGTTCGGTGTGAACGCACCATAAGATAAAATCATGTAGGCAATAATGCAGAATACAGAAACAAAAAAAAAAAGATTGACCAAAATGTCTATAATAACCCAGTCTTCTCTCATCTTGGTTTAAATCTCAGCCACAAAATGTTAAAGCAGATTTTTCTTGCTTTATTCCACTTTCCAAATACATGATGGGGTTAAAGAATTTGGTGTTTGAGGCTTCAGGTTGTTGCAGTAGACAGAAACGGATTAGATGGCTTGACCTGCAGTGGTGATGAGTTTTTAATGTTTTGGACTCAGGAGGAAGCCTGGTAGAATTTCATGTTTGTCCAAAATGCAATAACATTCATATTCAGTGAGGTGTCACATTCAAACAGGAGGGGAGAAAAACAAAAATTCAAATTTCAGAAGCAGAAATGACACACAGGTTTTGATTAAATGATTTTCAGGCAAATAAGTTGCTGATTATTGAGCTGGATTGTTAAAAGTGTCGATTTAAAGTTTGTTTTCCTGCAGCTGCCAACAAAAATTACAAACTACTGGTATTTTCAACAAAAGCACAACTCCCTGTTTAACTCTCCTGCTGTTTTTGGGTTAAAAAAAACTGAAGCCTCAAAGCTCATTTTGACCCAAAGGCAGCAGGAGAGTTAAATCGTTATAAAAAAAAAGACCAAAAACTGTTTTCGAAGTTTAAAAACTCTATTTTTATTAGGGGTGTAAGAAAATATTGCGATATTTCATTTCCCGATACTGTATCGATATTCTAAAGCCCTGTATTGATTTTTTTATTAAGGTTTAAAATGTCAACTTTCCTTCCAGCCGTTCATTTTTAAGTTGTAGTTCAGTCTCTGACCACTAGTTGGCAGCAGTGAGCCAGCCATTTGGCTCCTCTACCTCTTGAGGTAGAGGCTATTGTTTAGTGTTGGGTGACCAAATTGTAAATTAATATTAAAAACTAAAAGCTGCAAAATATATATTTTCAAACTATTTATTGTCAAATTTAGTTTAATAATTGAAAACATGGATGAAATAAGACATATGAAACAAATAAAATAAAATACATACAAAGCAGAACACAGCTAAATGTATCAAAAGTATGTCTMTGTAATATTAGAATTTTCTGAGACAATGAATTTTGGGCTTTCATTTTTTTCCCCTGTAAGAGGTTTTTATTTAATAAAATTTTTTGGACAAAAAAAATCGCGATGTATCGCCTTGCTTATAGTATCGCAATATATCGGGATATATCGTATCGTGACCCCTCTGTCATGATATGTATCGTATCGCCAAATACTTGCCAATACACAGCCCTAATTTTTATGGGTCAGGAGTGATGTTTTCAGGAAGTCCGTCTTTGTATTTTAAAAGGAGAATCCCCAAGCTTCACAGTTCCATCCAATATTATATGATGGGATTTCCTGGCACTACAGCAGTGAGCACTGTGCTGACTCTAGTTGCTTTGTTTACTATTTTACAAAATTACTTTTCATACTATTTTTTGTGATTTTATTTTTTTAAATTTTACGCATCTAAAGAAGAAACATTTTGCTCTTCTGCCTGATTCATGTCCACAGATCTCAGCCACAGAACAGAAGCATCACACTTTGTCACGGCTGTTACATGAATTAATTTGTGAATTAATTCAGTTTGAAATGGTTAATGTGGGTGACAGGTTATGTAGCGAGCCGACTACAGCAGGACGGCACCGTCGTTCCCCACTCGTATTCTTCCTCCTTATCTTCCTCGTCCCGGCTCCTCTCCTCTTCGTCATCCTTTTCTCAGGGCAGCTCAGCCAGCCGTGCTAACGGCCGCTGCTTCTCCAGTAGGTTATTCTGTCCTACTTAGACCCCCCTCTCACCACCCCCCGCGCCTTTTGAAAAAGTCAAATATAGGACAGAAAGGGAGGCCCACATACTCCGTCAGTCTGATCATGGCTGTGAATGGCAGGGTCATCGGCACGACTGGAGCCTGGCTGTTCTAACTGGTACCATTCAGTGGACGTCTAAGCACARGAAGTGGGACAGATATGAGGAGCAGTTAACATCTTAATGCTGCTCTGCTGAGGGATGCTGCTCGACCATTAATAGTTAACACACTATTTAAGCTGCCAAGAAATATTTCAAATTAACAAACTGTTGCCTCATTTTGTTCAGTGTTTGCAAAGATTTTTACTGTAGTAGTCTTGGGCTGGATGAAGGTATTTTGTTATACTATTAAATAGGGTTAGATAAATTTGAATAGATAAATTTGAATTTGTCACTATAAAGATTTAATTTTGGTAAAATTGAGATTATTTTTTCCCACCAGTGCACTCTGGGTCTTCTGTAGTTCAGAGGTGTCACTCCACCTGTCCCTCAAGACACCTGGTACACTACATGACAATATGGCAGCTAGCAGAGAGGATCTACTTCTCAAAAAGGCACTGTTTCTTCAGTTATCTGGAACTGGTTAGGTTTTGCAGCCTCGGACTTGGAGCAACGAACACCCCACTGCAAAATCTATTTAAAGGCTCTTGCTACAAAAAGCAGGAGGACAACAAATTTGTCTCGACACCTGAAACAGAGGCACTCCGTTAAGTGGGAAACATCAATTAMAATCAAAAATCTAATTTGGGATGAAAAAATCTTGTTTTTTTTTTTTTTTTGGGGGGGGGGGGGCATATCGCCCAGCCCTACTATTAAAAATCTGGTGACGGTATATAAAAAATTTATGATAGTATGAGTCCCGTGAGGTAAAGCACCAAATTTCCACAAGGCTGGTAAGAAAATTGGGACATTTTCAGAAGACGCCCCTTAACGTTACTGACACGTGTTCTGACCACCTCGGCTCGTTTAGAAGGCAAATGGGACAGAGAGACACCCCCGTCTGTCACACCTCTTAATCTCTGAGTGAGGCAAAATATATTTTACAAAACTCTGAGCGAGATTAGTGGAAGACTGTTGTCGACTCTTGAAAAGATGGGCCCATATAGTTCTGACTGACATCTTTAGGGACCACCCAGCCTCTTGTTTTTTAAATCTTAACTAATAGCTTGACTCCTTTTGGATTTAAACTTTTGGTGATTTTTTAAATTTTTTTTAAAATTATTATTATTATATGCAGCTCCTTGCTGCAGAAGAGTAAATGACTTCAAACTTATCGGCACGATGACCTTCCTCGCTAAAAGCATGCAGCAGCATAGATACGACCACGATGAGAGGCAGATTGTTTTGAAACTTACAACTCTAAAAAGACGTGGTTCAACTTTTTATTTTATTTTTATCTGTTCGACATAATGGGCAGGAGCTGTTCTGTGACTTTCCCCCTGCTGCTCTGAGTGACAGCAACATCAGAACAGCTGAGTCCCCCCCCCCCCCCCCCCCCCCCGCATCATGCCTCTCTGGCTTATGTGCATATAAATGCTCACAAGCAGCCGTTTCCCAGTTAATTATTAATTATGCCAACTCCCACCCCCAGTAATACTGTACCGCTGTATGAAAGTGATCAATACCGCCCAACCCTAGTGGTAACTATTGTATTGGCTATTGAGTACTGTCACTGTTACTRCATCTTTTATTAGAGGGATTAGGTGCTTGACTGTTTTATAAAATAACAAAAATATAAAATGGAGGCTTCTATTTCTGTGCCAGGTTAATTTCTACTATTCATGACATGTAAATTAGGTTTAATTGTATCACTTAATTTGTGACCTGGACTGGCAGAGTGAGTAACAGTGAGGAAAATATTATTTAATATTGAGTTATTTTTCATTTTTCCATATAAGCTTTAAAATGATGCAGGGTTTGTTGACTTGGTGGTTTTATCAACTGGATCAAGCTTCTTTGGTTATGAATAAGTGGATGCTGTCTTTTACCATCTTCTTGTAGTCTTCATTCTGTTTTTCTGTGCATTTTTAAGATTTGATCCACTGCACCAATGAGATGAACGTGAACATTCCCCAACTGGCTGACTCTCTGTTTGAGAGGACCACCAACACCAGCTGGGTGGTCGTGTTCAAGTCCCTCATCACCACACACCACCTCATGGTCTACGGCAATGAGGTGAGACTCTTCGGTACACCCTGTTCACTTTATTGTCCCCTAATACCTCTTGTTACATCTTCAAACTGTGGATTTACACTCTTACAGCGTTTTATCCAGTACTTGGCCTCCAGGAATACACTTTTCAACCTCAGTAATTTTTTGGACAAAAGTGGGCTACAAGGTAAAAATCTGATTATGGCAGATTTTACATTCTTGAAGAACAAGAGTAAAGGAACCAATTTAAATATTGATTATTTCCCTTCATCTGTCTCAGGCTACGACATGTCAACGTTTATCAGGCGGTATAGTCGTTACCTGAATGAGAAAGCTGTGTCGTACAGACAGGTTGCCTTTGACTTCACAAAAGTTAAACGCGGGTAAGCTTTAAGTCTTGTGTGTGTTTTTATTTATTAAGCATTTCTAATGAATGAAATAGTAAATGTTTAGGGAAGCAACAATTAGCATCATTTAGCTTTTTCATTTTAAACATTCATGCTGAAATTGTGTGACTGTTTTATTTTAGTAAATAAAGTTTAGAAATGTTTTGAAACTAAATTTTTAACATTGAAATACATGTGGCAAAATGTCAAATCTTCAACCTTTTGAACAACARAAAAACCTTGATTTTCCCATCGGTGGACAACTACAGTGCAACTACCTTGATGTATTGGTGCTTCATTAAAAGCCCTGTAGATAACTATTACAAACCAAGCATTTAATATTTACATTTAAAACCCAACAAGGCAGTCGGCTGAGTAAAGCACAGCAGAGAGGGATGTGCTTGCATTCATTTAAAATTTCAGGCTTTTTTTTATTAATTCTCCAAGGAGGCAAAGTTCCTGTTGTAGATGATTGAAGGAATATTTTGTTTCATCAGATCATCTAATCAGTGAATACTTTGGCGTGACTGTTGGTTCTTTTAATTTTAAAAAGAAAAAGAAATAAATGACTTGGCTCAGTGAAATTTTCAATGTCAAGGTTTTAGAACAACAGTGGAGTTAAAATATACACCAGTCAAGGTTTGTTTTTAGTACACAATCACCAAAGTTGAGCTTGAAGCAAACGTAAAGTACTGTTGAAGCTTATTGGCAATAAACATTTAGGATCATCTTTTAGGGTTCAGTCTTTTGGTCAGGTGAAAAACACATTCGGATTTTTGTTTTTCTGGATTTTCAGACAGTTGGGAGATTGTATGATTTAATGCTAAAACGGATTTCCAGCTCTAAAATCAATCAAAAGTTATGTTTGTATATACATTTTATATTCTCTGATTCTCTCTTCTTGTATCCACAGTGTTGATGGTGTAATGAGGACCATGAATACAGAGAAACTGCTCAAGACCATCCCCATCATTCAGAACCAGATGGACGCCCTTCTTGATTTCAATGTAAGTTCAGCTCTGCGGCGTGTTCAGTTAGCTGGAGCTCACAGGTTGTGTACAGGAAGCTCCGTATTGTCTTAACTTGCTGCAGACCACCAAGGAAGCTTTAAAATGAATTTCTTGCCTGATTGTTTTTTTTCCTCAGGTCAATGCCAACGAGCTGACTAATGGAGTCATCAATGCAGCCTTCATGCTCCTCTTCAAAGACTCAATCAGGCTCTTTGCTGCTTACAACGAAGGCATCATCAACCTGCTCGGTAAGATCTTTGGGAAACGCCTTTTTTCAGGATTTTTTTCCCCCTCATCTTTTGCCCCTCTTGCCAAATAAGTACCAGCTAGCTAGTGTTTTTGTTTCATCAAACAGAGAAATACTTTGACATGAAGAAGACCCAGTGTAAAGAAGGTTTGGACATTTACAAAAAGTTTCTCACACGAATGACTCGGATATCAGAATTCCTTAAAGTAGCRGAGGTAAGTTTCACAACATCCTCTCTTTTTAAAATTTATTTTTTAGCCACACATAAACCTGCTAATGTTTCATAATTGTTTGATTTTTTTTCTTTTCTTCTAACAGCAAGTGGGAATCGATCGAGGTGACATCCCAGATCTCTCACAGGTAACTAAAAACACAGTTTATTTCCGTAAAGGGAATCTTTTCTTTGCATTTTTATTTCCTGCACAGATTGGCCTCTTTTTCCTGTCAAATCCAGCGTAGGTCTAGATACAGTCAGTGCAGATGTTTAAAAACAAAAACTCCTTTGCATGATTTCTTTTTTGAGGCGCATGCCAGAGGGGACCTTTTATTCTTTGCCTGATTCTTGTTTTCATCCTTTTTTTCTTCCTGCTTCTGAGTTTCCTCCTGCTCTTCTAACCCACGTGTGAATCAGTAAATAAAGGTGTCAAAGTCCACGCCGTTGTTGCAGTCCGCTCATAAAGTCTGCACGGCGACGGCTAAATGCCCCCAGATGACGTTAATAAAGCGGCGCAGATTGTTGCAGAGCTGGGGAGCGTTTTCTTTTACCCCAATGAAYTTGAGTTTAAAATGCATTTTCCTCTTGACTGTCACCACCTTTATATTCTGTATTTTCCCCCCTTATCTTTCCACTTTAGTTCACAGTTTGTGTAAGTACTGTTATTTCACTCTTCTTCTATGTCCGTGACTTGCCTCAGTGTTGTCTTTTTGCATGCCTCTGCTCTGACTCTCGTCTCCTACATCGTGGTGGAAATTAAAAAAAAAAATTAAAAAGTTGAAGGAAAAAACGCTGGCTGTGGTAAATACCGTTCACTCGGCGTTGTGTCGTTTGAGATGAAAAACCCCTCAGAGTAGCTCATCTCGTGTTTTCTTTTAAATGGCTGCTCCCGTTGTGCTTAGACACGGCCGATTCAACAAGGCCTGGCTTGTTGAAAGCGCCGTGGTGCAGTACATCATCCCACACAGATGTTAYTCTCATCCAAAGTAGTGTTTTTGGCTGGAATGCCGTCATCGATCAGTGGTGGGTGACTGATGTCCTGGAGATGATCTAATCCTCGTAATCAAATACATAAATTGGCTGACTTCATATTGTATTTTTTTTTGGTGTGTTTGATGGCATTTACTCCATCTCGGATCGCCCACCACTGTTTGTTATGGTATTAATGTTTTTTCTAGACATTTGCTGCACCCCAGGTTGTAGCTGACTGTGTTTTCTGTCACAACAGGCTCCCAGTAGCCTCCTGGAAGCTCTGGAGCAACATCTGGCCTCTTTAGAGGGCAAGAAAGTCAAAGACTCCACTGCAGCTAGCAGGTTTGTTGCTAACCGAGGAGATGATCCTCCTCTAAATCTCATGCTTTAGTGTGTTTGATCGCTAATGCAGGTAGTTTTATTTTTTGTTTTGTTTCCCCCTGCAGGGCCAGCACTCTGTCGAACGCAGTGTCGTCACTGGCCAGCACCGGGATGTCTTTCACTAAAGTGGATGAGCGAGAGAAGCAGGCGGCTCTGGAGGAGGAGCAGGCCCGACTCAAAGCTCTGAAGGTTTGTCCCAATAATAATTTCTTTAAAGACCTGAGAGAATATTAAATGCTTCTTGTTCTCCGTTTTATTAACAAATAAAAATAAAATTTTGTTCTCAGGAACAGAGACTTAAGGAGCTCTCCAAGAGGCCGTCCTTTGCCACAACAGATACATCGCCAGTTTCCACCACCGGGGGCACCATCAGCACTGCACCGACCATCGACCTCTTCTCCACACCCAGCTGCTCAAACGGGTAAGGATTACCTTTTATTAATTTACTAATCTGGATATTTTAGTCTTCGATGACGATGGGAAGCAGGAAGTAGGACWTAAAAGATCAACATGTAATAAACTTATTTATGGCACATGTTGGCATTTTAATGACTGATGAAACAAAACTCTTGAACTGGTTTCTCTACATCACAGCTTAATGTATCGTATCTAGTTCGACTCAGTGTTTTTTTACCCCCTAATGTCTGCTTAAGCAAGTTTTCTGTTTTTAATGTAAAAATGATTTTTTTGTGTGTTAAGATGAGAGCATAAAATTGGCTTTTTGGGTCACATTCTTGCAAACATAACATACTTATAAATGTTGGTATATAATTCTTTTAAAGTTTTCGCACCAAATAAGTGAGCATTTGTAGTTTGTGTCCAATAAAAATGTGTAAAAGGGTTGGAATGTGTTTTTGTTCTGCAGTGCAGTGAAGATGGAGGGCGACCTTTTTGACCTGCAGTCAACTTTCCAGCCTCCCCTGCAGTCCGGCTCCACAGGGCTTCCAGCAGCAACGGCGTGGGCAGGTAAACCCCTTCCTCTTCCTCAGCGCCTCCACCCGACACCCCTGCCTCTTGACTTCAGCGACTTGGGTTCTGCATGCTCTCCTGTTCTTGTTGTCTGACTCTTCCTCCCTTCTTCACTCTCTTCTGTCTTCTTTTTTCCTTTCTTTCTTCTTCTGTTTGTCTTCTCTCTGCCTGCGTAGATCCTTTCACCTCTGCCGAAGCGGGAGATGATTCCATGCCAAACYTTAACCCTTTCCTCTCAAAACTCGTTGTCGAAGCCACTCACTTACCTGTCGTGTCTTCAGATGGTGTTAGCTTTTCCTCTAGGACATCCGGTCATGAAGTGTTTGGTGGTAACGACTCATTTTGTTACTCTTCAGAAGTCTTGTCGCTCTTGTTCATATATCTGTACTCACTTATCTGCATGAAGGCGCCAGCGTTTCTCCGAGTATTACCACAGAGGGAGCGTTCTGTGAGACTCGTTATTTCTGCTGCTTAAAACTGGATTAAAACCGGATTAAAACCGGAAGCTAAGATTTTAACAGACTCAGTTTAATTGTTTTGTGAAACCCTCATGATGTTCTTTCTGTGAGTTAGTTTCAAGTGTTTGTAGATTTCTCATAAATATCTGCACGTTTCAATTTTACACAGGATTAAAAAAACAATAAAATACATGAGCTGAAGTACTTTAAATCTAATCCTTTTGATTAAAATAGTCATTTTAAGGCAGAAGATTGTCAAATAAAATATTTTGTGCAAAGGCTTACCTGTACTGTATCTTTGATTTATTACTGAAGAGTAACTGCAGAGAGGAAAATCTGTACACTTAAATTTTTATGTACATAAATGTACTTTTTAATGCTGCCCAAATGTTAAATTTATTGCTGTTATTAAATACAAATCACCCCTTCTGGCCATAAATTCAGGGAAACGCTGGACTCTGCATGTTTAATGTGCTGCTTTACTCTGAATGTTCATCTAAATGTGTCTAAATGAACTCCAGCTTGTTGCTTCTGCTCAAATCAAACTTAAACTTGAATTACCTTTTTTTTTTTTTTAGCTTCCTGTTCTTCAGATTTGGTTATCTGCAGATATGCGGGTTGGACTTCTGTTTTCTAGTTTTCTAAGGTTTGAAGGACCACTTCTGTCTCAAACACTGTCTGGGACGTCATGTTACCATTTTTATTTTGCTATAATAATCTGGTTTAAATGCTCTGCTGCCTGAGCTTCATGGAAGAACTGAGAACTTTTTGATCAGATGGTAGATTTTATCACGCTGCAGCTGTGATTGTGTCCTCAGCTGATGTGAAAAGTTTCAGAAAGTCRGTTTGTTTTTGAGTTTGATGCTTCATGCTGACTTCTTCTTGCTGTAGCCATCTGTATGATTTTTATTGATCAGAAAACCGTGTCTCTTGAAAGCAGTGCTGTTGGTTATGCTAACGTTAGCTAATGTGCTAAGCGTCATCATATTTAATCAYTKAATTATAGTAATAGTATTTTTATCTTTATGCACCAGGATGTTACTTTAATCAAAGTTATTCTTTAGTTTATTTTGGACTTGCAAAGCTACATCTACACCCTGCAGGGCAGGTTAACAGCCCCTCATGCTGGGGGAGAGGCGTCTRTTTTGAGTTATTTGTACTTTTAATTTGCTATGAGAACTTGTGTTAAAATAGAGAGTGGTGATATTCACAGGTGTGAGATGACAGTGAGATAAAAATAAGTGACCAGTCAATTAATAGAAAAAGTAATTGACAGATTGATCAGCTATCAAAATAATTTAGGTGCAGCTTTAGAACAGACCAAACCTGTTGAATCTGAGCCACAGTGAACTGAAGCAGTTCAACCCGACACAAACATGATTTACAGTGAAGTTACTCAACACTTCTGATGGACTACACTATGAAGCTAGTTTAATAATGGATTTGGACATCCCTGCTGTTTGAATCATGAAGACATTTGTGTGGATTTGCAGCTTCTGCTCATTGTGTTTTACAGCAAATAGAGCTTTAAGGTTTAAACCTGTTCTTACACTATTTTTGATTCTCCAGATCTTTACAATCCCTTTACTGACACAAACTCATCCGTTTCAACCAATTACAAACGCACAGTGCGGATAGAGCCGTCCGTCTCAGGTACTTGGATGGCTCCCCGCCTCCAACTATGTTTCCTAAAAACATAGAAACCTTAAAATATTTCCTCAGAGCCATTGCTGTGAGATTTACTGTAGGATTAAGTTGTCAGAGGAAGAGTTTTACACTTTGGGAATTAAACGTTTTTCCCCTCATATTTACCTGCTTGTTTTATGCACGTCTTTAAAAAATAAAAATAAAATGATAAAAATCAAGATTATGAGGCCTAATTCTAAATTAAGGCTACACCAGTTGTTGTTCAACAAATTACGTTTAAAACCAACCAAATACTTCAGGTTTTTTTTTTTTTGATGCTGCAATAGTTTTAGATATTTAAAGACTAGTTTAACATTACAGATGGGAAAAGGTTTAAATGAATCCCTGTATGTGGACATAAAACATTAAAGCTGTGATTCAATATTTTTGCAATAATTTTTTACATTAATATATATTTTTATACTTGAGTTTCTAATATTTTAGATTGGTTTTACATAAAAAGATCCAAAATACAAAAGTTATTTAAAGCTTAAATTTAAAATAACCAGTTGTGATTTTAAAATGTTGACTAATCTGCATAAATTGCAGAGATGTTTAGAGTTAATAAAAACACCCCACAAAACATAAAGTCTAGTTTCAGGAAGTGAAAAAAATAATTTAATCAACTGTTCAAACCTTGTTTTTCTGATTTTAAAATATTTAAATTTTTGTTTATTAAAAATGAGCAACAACTCACCTGTTTGTTTGCTGGTTATTTTAGTGTTTTTAACTGATAAACATTGTTAAATGTGATGCAGTTTTAGAAGAAAAAAATAAAATTGTTAAATGTTTTTAAAGTAAAATGAAAGGAAGTGTTTATTTGTTTGAGAGAAAAATTCATGTTAAAGCTTAAGAAAAATTAGATAACCTGGATTAAAAAGTTGCATCTCAGCCGATAACAGAAAATAAAAAATAATCATTGTTGATTTGATTTAAACTTCCAGCAAAAGAGAAATTCCCAAAATGTCAAACTTTTCCTTTATTCTTTCCTTCTATTATTCTTTCCTTTGTGTTTTTTTTTTTCTTTTTCTGTCCTGCTGCTTTAATAAATCAGTAAAATAGTTGTGGCAGCTTGTTTAGCGTCTCCCTCCTGCTTTTTACTGCTGCTCTCCTTTCTCGGTCTTGAAATCCTTCTTCCTGTGTTTTCCTGCTTCGCGTGGCGTGTCAGACTCCTTCTGTGGCCCGGTGTCCGTCGCTCAGCACCTCCCTCACCAGGCTCCCTTCCCCGCCGAGCCCTCTGCCGTAGCAGGTCTATTCAGAGGTAGAGTATCGACRGCGGCCTTTCAGCTCGCGCACCAGAAGCTCGTTTAGGAATCCTGCTTCGCTGCTGCTCACTTTTTTCTTTTAGCTTCCTCTAACTCTTAACTTGGTCTCTTTCTGAAGGATACTCAGCACCACAGGGCCCACCGCAGCATCCAGCAGGGGGACTCCAGGTGGACTTTGAGTCTGTTTTTGGAAACAAAGCCAGCGGCGGCACCAGCCTCAACTCTGACGGTGAGGATTMAATTTAAAGAAGTGGTCATGCGATGCCTGAGCAGATGGTTTTAAAGACGATGAATCTATAAATAACCGTGAGACCCTTTTGGTCTTGGAAAAAAGGGGTAATTACAGGTTTCAGTGAAGCAGATCACACGGTGTTTTGAAATAAACTGTTTGCATCAACTTATCAGATCCTCAACTTTTGACACAAATCTGAAAAACAGGAAGTGAGTTTCTAAAAAAATTCATTTTTCCTTCTCAGATCTGACGGGAGGCATCCTGAAGCCGACTCTAGCTGGGTCCAACCAGTCGTCCAATCAGCAGCCTGAAAAGTTGGTGTCGGACGACCTCGACTCCTCTCTGGCCAACCTCGTCGGCAGTGAGTGACCGCTCTGATTAACCGGCAGGTCTCCTCCGACCAGCAGCCGCTCATTGAATGATGTTGTTTGTTTTTCAGACCTCGGCATCGGAAACGGCACCATGAAGAAGTAAGTGACGTCTCCGCTGTGCGTTTAGTGCCCCCCCCCCAGCGGCTTGATGCTGATGCTGGTGCTAACGTGACTCAATGTGTTAATCCACAGTGACATCCACTGGAGCCAGCCGGGGGAGAAGAGGATGACCGGCGGCACCAACTGGCAGCCCAAGGCGGCGCCCACCACGACCTGGAACCCTGTCTCTATGGTGACGCAGACACACACACACACACACACACACACACACACACACACACACACACACACACACACACACACACACACACACACGATATCTGCCGCTGCTGTTCTGTTCATTTTGCATTCAAACAGAGCGGTGGATTAATTAGAACTTCAGGAACTGATTAGAGAAATGATAAAAGTTTATTTAAAATCCTTTCGGATGTYAAAGCTGGAAACAAAACCAACCACAGCTCTGACTGTCTTTAGAGTTTAAAACATGTTTTCAGCTGCAGAAATTAAAACGATCTATGAACCAGCAGGTCGTTGTTGTAATCCAGTTAGCAGCTTCTTTTCTGCTTACAAAGAGATGTTGTTTAACTCTATACTAATTTTAAATTTGGCTTACCCCACAAATATGAAGATTACAGCAGTCTCTTTTATAATGATGTGTTAAATTAGATTTGATCATGCATGTTAAAGTCCAGAGGAGATAAAACACTTTAATTTATTTTGCCTAAACATTTTTCTAAAATAATAATGAAAATAGTGGATAAAGGCAATTTATTCACTTTATTTCTCTTGTGGCACTTAAACTCTGAAGCTCAATCTTTTGAGCTCAAACTTGGCCTCAGCTCAGCTTGAGTATTTTTATTTTTGTTTGATCAGCGATCAGTCAAATCATATTCATTTGTAGAGCACATTTAAGAACTGCTGTCTTTAACGTGGGAACAGCCAAAAGATAATCTGTGGTCAGTACTTCTCTGAAGTTTTTATTCCAATCTGAACCTCACATCTCGTTTATTTAACAGATAAATGGAAGAGGTTAGTTCTTTATTTATAGCAGAAGCTAAAAATACGCAGAACGTGATTATTTACTTTGGCTTCAGTCAAATTTCGGTCTTTATTTGCTCTGTCGTCCAAGGTTTGATCATTTTCTAAACAAAAGATAATCTATTTATTTTTGAGTTATTTTTGCTCATCTGTGAAGTTTTATCATTTCAAACTAAAAGGTTTGCATTTCTTTTCAACTGAACAGGATTTGTGTACTTTATTTATTTTATTAACTCATTAAAACTGGTAAAATTTTGACTGAAGACATTTGTTTCTCTTCAGCCGCCGTCAATCATGGCCTTCCCTGCCACCACGCCCACAGGCATGATGGGATATCCCGTGGTAAGTACTATTTATTTATTTAGTTTTTAAATATTTTTATCTTGAAGCCTGAGAAAATCTAATAAAAACTCAGACTACTGTCGTCACATAACTCTGTTTCATGTTTGTGATTAAACAGTTTGCAGATTGAACCGTTTTGACCAGTCTGTAAATAAAGTGTTTGATCTGTGTGCAGCCTCCACAGATGGGCTCCATGGGGATGATGAACCCACCCACCATGATGTACTCCCAGCCTGTCATGAGGCCTCCCAACCCCTTCGGCTCCGTGTCCAGTGCTCAGGTGGGTGCAGGCGGTAGTTTTTGTTGATCAGGCCGAGTAAATAAAAGGTGTCTCCGTTGTGCTGCGTGGTGTACCACAGTTAGTCCCTGTAAGCCTTGTTGTCRAACTGCTGAAGATGATGACAGTTTTAACAGTGAACCTTCACTCTCTGGAGCTGAAAGAGACGAAAACTGTGACTCATCATCTCGATGTTTCCGAACAGCTCCTCTTTTTTTATTWTTTMTTTTTAATTAACCCATCTTTCACACATCACAGCTTCTCCAAACTAATCTCATCCCTCCTTCAGTCTCTGAACTGACTCTGACTTTTCCTCTGGTCCTCCTACTTCCTGTGTTAGCCCTCTGCAGCCTCTAGTCCTTCCAGCCAGAGTCCTCTCCGAGCCCCTGGACAGGACCCGTTTGCACACCTCTCTCTCAAGGATTTCTTGTAGAGCATCTCTTTAGGTACATCATGCTCTTTGCTTGCAGATGCACCTGCATGTCTTGTGTCCAGTGCCAAATCATTTACYTTATTTTATTTTTTATCATTTGAACCCTTTTGTGTTCTTTCCATCCGATCAGATGTTTGCTTTAAATGTTCTTTTTGTTGCTCGTTTTTGACCGACGGAGCGAAACTCATTCATTGTTTTTTCCACTTATGATGCATTTATCAAATCACCATGAGTGAATTTGTTAAACTGACTTGGCTCTGTCCCTGTTTGGACTGAGTGTACTTTATTTACCCCAAATTAGATATAAATATATCCAATCCTAAACCACAATACATCTTAAAATGAGGAGTTTGGGCATTAGTATCTGTAAAAAGGTCAAAAATATACATAATTGTACAGCTGTATTCATCTAATCCCAGGTTAAAACCAGAAAATCTGGTCAACTCGCATTATCTGTCTAAACTATTTTTTCCTATTCTGGTCTAAACTTGATGCAAAAAAAAAAAAAAAAGGCATTACAAATCAACATATTTCTCAAAATAACCGAAGGTTCCGGTACTTCATGACAGAGTGCAGATTGTAGCTACAGGAGAAGTGATWGTGACGCAGTATTAGAAGTAAGGCGCTTTGCTCCGCCCCCCTGCATCCTGCCAAGCTCAGTAATGTAGGGGAAACGACGTGCAGCTGCTGAGCTGTGATTGGTGGAACAAAGTTCTGCTGGATGCWGATTGGCTCTGGCAGATATTGTCCGATCACCACCAAAATTTGCTACTATTACTGCTACCTTTCATTTTATTTTGATTTTTTGATTTGTGTATTTTCTTAATTTCTATTGTATATAGTTATTTTGTTTTTTTAATGAAATTAATAAAAATTTTTGAATTGAATTGGAAAAAAAAAATTAAGTTATTTGTGACGACTCAATCTGTTTTGTAACTTTTTGAGTAATATTCTGCACAGACTAACAAACACTACTGAAAACATAACCTACTTGGTGGCGGTAATAAAAATATAAAGACTTAAAACTCAATGGTAACTTTAAGTTAGGCATGTGCTAACATGCTGATCATACACGGGATAAATAAACGCCTGAAGAACGTCTGACCCATCCTGCTCTGAAAACAGGTCTTCAAGATTGACTTTTGTAATATGAACGCTTTATTCTTGCTTTGCTTTGGTGTGGAGTGCTTTAGAAAAAAAAAATGTTAGAGAAACTCACCATCTTCTAGATGAGTTGCGATCGCTTGTGACTAATATATTTTGTTTGACGGCATGTGCCGAACCCTGACGTGCGTAGGTACACCTTCACTAAGTTGCAGTRCTTAGTAAACCTGTGATTTAAGTGATCCAGTCCTTACAACCCATGTGTGTTCACCTCAGCCTCTCTGACCTCGCCTGTTGCTCTTCTTGCAGATGCAGTTCATGTAATTTGAAGGAAGTGTCTCTCAGAAGATGAAGCACTTAGCAGCAAAACTTTGTCCTCGTTGCAGTTTATAACTCTTCAGAGAAGCATCCATCCCCCCCACCTCGAATACAGACACGTCAACACAGCGGAGCACCGACTGTCAGAAATCATGATAACCATGTTCCAAATGAYGTTTGGCCGATCGCTCGCACCCATTTTCCTTCTGTAATAACTTGTCCAAAACGTCGAGTGATGCTGCTTTCTAACTTCCTCCCCATAAAAAGGACTTCTTCTCCATTTTACAGTGTACTCTGTAAAGATRGTTCGGGTGCTGAGAAATTAAAAATGTTATGTATTTGGAGATGTTGTTGTGATCGGACGGGGGGGGAAAGGAAAAAAAAAGGCCTTTGATTTTCAATGGGGAAAAAGGGGTGATGGAAGTAAACGGGGAGCGTCTCTTCCYTTCCTCGATCCGATCATCAGTCAACCGAAACCCTCGCAGTTAATTAAACTCTGTCACCAAGTAGTGATGCTAATGACGTTTACACCTGTTTTAGTTTTCGTCTTTTTTACCGTGTTTACAGTAGACATTCCTTGTGTGTTGTTTGTATTTATTTATGATCATCGGTTTAAGATTTTTTTGCGGGGCTGAAATTAAAAAGAAAAATATTAATGTAAAATCTACAGTTGGTTGAACACACGTGGGAGTGCTTCAGCATTAAAACAAGGATCTCAGACTATCATTAAGAGGTAGAGTTGAAAATAGATATATAAATTACACCTTAATAAATGGAATGATAGAGCACTAAATATTAAAGTTTTGTGTTAAGGATTTTTTTTTCTTATTTTTCTCTTTTTATAGATGAAAGAATCTCCATTGTACTTACAGTGCCRGGGTTAGTCAGTTACCAGTATATAGCGTGCCTGTAGGGTTTTACTTGGATCGGACTCCTGATTAAAAAATAATAATAATAATTAATTAAAATAAAATCACTTCATCCACGAATCGGAAGCGTCTCACTGGGTGGTGGGCTCCATTTGCTTTAAGCTTGGCATGCCGTTGACTCACTGACTGTAATCAAGGCTGCCTTTTTACTCTGAATGTGAAAGAGTTGTCTTCATGTTGCACACATCTTTCCGGTTCCTCAGCAAGGTGATGAGGAGGTTGGTTGACAAAATGCGAGTTGGGATGAAGGTTTTTAAAAAGGAAAAATATGGGGTTGGTGTAAAATAATTGTACAAAAACAAAGAAAAAAAAGATGCAGAGTAGTGGGGTAGAGCGGAGCAGCACTGTTGATCGGTGCCCTGTGTATATAAACACTGACTGTTCTTTGAGCGCATAAACGGTGAAAGATGTATGAAATATGAAAGCAATTCAATCAAATTTGACTCTACCTAAGTTTGATTCAGGATCTTCTCTGCGTTTGTCTTCGCAGATTTTTTTCTTTATTGTAATTAGATCGTGTAGCAGACAATGACTGAAGTTTTTTTTCTTTTTTCAAATAAAGAGCAGCTTCCACAAAGAATCACAACTGTCTGTGTGGTTTTTAAATCTGAGCAAAMCTCTGAAGCCTGAGTGCAACAGCCTCCATCTTTGTTCTTCTGGAGGAATTTTAAGATGAAGTTTAAAATYGAGGCCAGACGTGTGAATCTGTCCAAGCCCTGGATCTTCCACATGGTCCAGAAAGCAGTCTTACTAGATGCTGTAAACCAGGGCATGTGTAATTTATATATACAGCGGGTAAAATAAGTATTGAACACRTCAMCATTTTTCTCAGTAAATATATTACTAGAGGTGCTAATGACATGAAATTTTCACCAGATGTCGGTAACAACCCAAGTGATCCATACATGCAAAGAAATCAAACCATAAATGTCCAGAAATGAAGTTATTTGTAATAATGTGGAATGGCACAGGGAAACAGTATTGAACACACTTACTGAAATTTATCTAATACTTTGTACAAAAGCCTTTGTTGTCAATGACAGCTTCAAGACGCCTCCTGTATGGAGAAACTAGTGGCATGCATTGCTCAGGTGTGATTTTGGCCCATTCTTCCACACAAACAGTCTTCAAATCTTGAAGGTTTCGTGGACCTCTTCTATGAACTCTGATCTTTAGTTCTTTCCATAGATTTTCTGTTGGATTCAGGTCAGGTGATTGGCTGGGCCATTCCAGCAGCTTTAGTTTCTTTCTCTGAAACCAACTGAGAGTTTCCTTGGCTTTGTGTTTGGGCTCATTGTCTTGCTGAAATGTCCAGCCACGTTTCATCTTCATCATCCTGGTAGATGGAAGCAGATTTTTATCAAGAATGTCTCTGTACATTTTTTCCATTATTCCTTCCTTCAATTATTTGAAGTTTGCCAGTACCATATGCTGAAAAACAGCCCCACACCATGATGTTCCCACCTCCAAACTTCACTGTTGGTATGGTGTTTTTGGGCTGATGTGCAGTGCCATTTGACCTCCAAACATGATGTGTATTCTGGCATCCAAACAGTTCAATGTTGGTCTCATCTGACCAGACTATATTCTCCCAGTATTTCACAGGCTTGTCTAAATGTTGTGCAGCAAACTTTAAAGCAGCTTCAACATGCTGTTTCTTCAGCAGTGGAGTCTTGCGTGGTGAGCGTGCATACAGGCCATGGTGGTTCAGTGCATTACTTATTGTTTTCTTTGAAACAATCGTACCTGCTAATTCCAGGTCTTTCTGAAGCTCTCCACAAGTGGTCCTTGGCTCTTGGACAACTCTTCTGATAATTTTTTTTCGCTCCTCTGTCAGAAATCTTGTGAGGAGCACCTGGTCGTGGTCAGTTTATGGTGAAATAATGTTCTTTCCACTTCTGAATTATGGCCCAACAGTGCTCACTGGAACCTTCAGAAGTTTAGACATTCTTCTGTAACCGATGCCATCATTATGCTTTGCAACAATAAGGTTGTGAAGGTCTTGAGAGAGCTCTTTACTTTTACCCATCATCAGATGGTTCTTGTGTGATACCTGGCCATCATTTGGGACTGAACCAGCTGATATTAACTTGCACTGACAAGGGGCAGGCTTGCTTTCTAATTACTGAGAGAGTTCAGCTGGTGTCTTGGCTTTCCATGCCTTTTTACACCTCCCTTTCTTCATGTGTTCAATACTTTTTCCCTGTGCCATTCCACATTATTACAAATAACTTCATTTCTGGACATTTATAGTTTGATTTCTTTGTATGTATGGATCACTTGGGTTGTTACCRACATCTGGTGAAAATTTCATGTCATTAGCACCTCTAGTAATATATTTACTGAGAAAAATGGTGACGTGTTCAATACTTATTTTACCCGCTGTATATATACAGTATAAAAAAAGCATTAGCTGTTAAGATTATTTCTGGTCAGGGACTCCCTTTGCAAACCCACAACGCTACAAAACACGAAAAAGAAATTTAAACTTTTACAATGTTTTAATTTTTCTTTATTTTATTCCCTTATCAATAATAATTACATTAGTWTTGCATAGGGATTTTTCCTAATTCATTTTAAACATTTGTTATATTCCCACTGAAAATAACTAAAAATTGTTGATGATTTAAAAAAAAGACACCAAACTTCAGTATAGTTTGCATTATATTTAAAAGTGATTAAAAGCTGATAGGATTTTGGATCATTTAAAACAGAATATTATTATGTTTTTTCTTATTTATTTTTGCTTGAATTTTTCAACTAGCTCCTTTTTTATGCAGAAAATAAAAAAGAAAGCTTCAGATGTAGTTTATTGGACTTCTCAGAGGGTTCAGTGTTGGGTGCATCAGCCCAGAGCCCTGAAACATTATTTCATTGGTAATATTTTTATCACTGCTTGTGTTATTTCAAATTTAATAAAAAGGGTGGGTTGGTGGTGGTCTTCCTAATCCTAAGAGGGAAAATGACACATCTGTTTATCATTTTCCAAAAATGTTAATTAAATTAATTGACTTGTTTTAAAAAAGCTGAACTAAATGAGCTTAAACATTTAAATTAGACATTTAGGCTGTGAAATTCTAAAAATATTGTTTATGGTGGATAATGGTGTTTATGRTGTTGGAACCACTTCATCCAATAATATGATAAAGGAAAATTTAAGGCTTGAAATTATAATTATTATTTTTGTCCGTGTGAAATTCAGAATGAGGCCCAACAGTTTTACTTTCATGCTTTCATGCTTCGTGCTCCACTTGATAATTATTTAAACATTAGAAATGCTTTTGGGATTATTTAGATATAACGGAGATGGAAAAGAAAAGGGAAAAGGATGATGAAAGAGATTAAAAGGGAAGAAGCGTAGAGAAAACACAAGACAACACATTTGTAGTTTGCCTCGACACCTGCACAAAAGAGAAAACAAGACAGAAAAAAATCTCTCTAGGCTGCTGTGGGTCCAGCTGCAGCCCAGGGGTCTGTTTCCTCTTTAATGCGGCCCTGGAAATTAATTTCTTTCTGAGCATCAAAGCGGGACTGGATCCACGACTTTGTCCTGAAAGTCATAGAATCACAGTGGGAACATTTATCCCTCCTAAAGTGAGGAGCAGATGGTCAAATGGCGTCATRTTGGGAGCATTTAATTAGCTGTTGAACCTCACTTTGTCCGGTGGCGACACCTGCTGGACTCCACTGGTCATTGCATCTAATTACTTACTTTAAAAAAATAATTTAATCGGTAAAATAAAACGTTCCGCTCGATTTGAAACATCTGTTTTAAACCCCAGGGGACAGAAGAGGCCATAAGGAGGCGATAAAACACAAAATGGCTGCAGTTTATATCTATTTTCCTCTCTGTGTTAGTCGTTTAGAACCTCCTCTTCCATACCTCCTCCTCCTCCTCCTGTCTGAGGAATTCATCCAGCTGCAGACCTGCACAGGAGGAGGAGGAGGTAAAACTCATTTATCCTCAAATATTCTTGTTTTCTCCAACACATGATGGGCAGAAGTATTAAAGGGAATATAATCTGAACATCTTTAAGGTAAGTTTTTCTGCTTTTATTTAGAGATGACTCCAAAAATGAGGTAATTCTTTCTTCTGTGCTGCAACTTTACTATTTCTGCTCATTAGAATCTTATTGTCAGAAAACTCTTTTTTTTAACTTTTAAAAGCTCAATTCCTGTTGGAGCAAACCGGATCCTGAAGTCAGTGACTAACCTGCTGTGTCAACACATCTCCACCTTGAATAAACTGAACAAAGTGGAGCAGATGTTCTGARAAGCACAATAAAAAGCACCATGTTTTAGTGCTTTAGTGCTTTTAGATTTAAGGTTTTCTGATTTTAAAGATACTGAAGTAAGAAAGAAAAAAGTGTTGACACTACTTCATTTTTAATCTTTGTTTCCTCCCTTATTCAGTGTTTTTAAGGTAYACATAGGCTGCATTAAAGCCTGAAACCCTGCTGTGTTGTGTAAAAAAAAAGTCCATTTCTCTATGAAATAATGCTCAAATGCTAAATTGTTCTAAAATAGCTAAACTGAGACAATGACATATTTTGAAATAATTTTCAAAACTGAAGCTACATCTTTAATTTCTAACTACAGGCATTTCACGATTCACTGAGGAAAACGTCCATGATTTGATGTTTTTACTGTAGAAAAAGTACAGAAAACACGAATAACCCTCAAATTATTTTTTAAACTTTATAACAATCATTGTTTCTGACTGATTAAAAATATTTATTGATGTATTTCTTAGTCAATCTTTTAAAGCGATCTCAATTTGAAACAAAAATATCACATCAAATGACTTTTTTAATTTTTATTATTTTTTATTAGCTTCTTGAGGGCCTTTAGTTAAAAATAAACAAACACAAAATCAGTTTTTTGTTTCCTTTTTCTTTTACAAAGTTGGCTTTTTTTAAATGAAAGACATTTTTCCTATTTGGGGTGCCCAAATAAATTTTTTGTCCAATAATAATAATAATAATAATAATAATAGGCTCTCCATCTCTTTGCATCTAAATAAAATGGTTTCAATGCATCTATTTTCTGAAACTAAAGAGTAGTGAAGTCAATGAGAGTTTATGGGAGAATTTGAAACAATTCTAACAACGTTACAAAAGATTTTAAGATTTTAAAAGACCAAAAGGGGAAGTTTCTGCTGTCAGTGGCTAAATATGTGTAGTGTCCCAATGGTTACCATGTTGACCCCAAACCTGTGCCTGTCCCACCCTGACTCTTAATGAGAGGCAGACAGAAACAAGCCTCAAACAGTCGCTGTGCAAAAAAACTGCAAGTTGGGTAAAAAAAAAACCATAACCATAAGATTTGAAGCATCGAGTCATCAAACGTTTTTTATGCCACTTCAGTAGAAAACAAAACTGAATATTAGTTTCTTAATTTCTCCATTATCAGTGTCTTTTGTAATACTATAGTGAAAAAGAAAAAGTAGAAGAGAAATATAAGAACAGTAAAGAGAGAAACCGATAGAAATTATATAACGTGTGAAATGAACACCAATAAAATATAGGACATCATATGTTTGTTTTTATTGTTCTGTAATGTTTATTGATAGAGATACGAGGAGTTAAAATGTCCTCCAACAACCGGCCCACTTTCAACACTTCCCCATTCTTTTAATTGTCAGACTTTAGCCATTGCATGAGAGTAACTGTGTTCAGGAACATGTTGACCTCATGAGAATTGGTTGAACAGAGGCAGCTGGGAGTTTCTTCACCTGCGGGGAGAGGAGAAGCATGATCGACCTGAGCCACCTGACGGAGGAGGAGCAGGAGGCCATTCTGACGGTGCTGAGGAGGGACGCCGATCTGAAGCGGGCTGAGGAGGAGAGGGTCAGGTACGTTTGATGCCCTTAAAGTCTGCAACAAGTCAGGACAGCCTGTATTTTCCACGAGCTCCCTCCAGACTGTCTTCTGTGACAAGTCTCCTAATAGGTTAACAAAATAAGAGCTCGTCCTCCATTGTTGAGAAACCCTCAGAGATGAGATCCACTCTGCAACACAAACAAGTCAAACCAACTCATTCTGCAAACTCTAAATAATAAATCTCTTCTTGCACCTTTGGAAGAAAAAAAAAACGTTCATTTCTGGTTCAAATTCATTCGTGAAGCAAACAAACATAAAAAAGTCTCAGATTTCATTTAAAAGAAACATTTGATGTAAACAAAGAGCTTTTCACTGGGAGCTGAATAGAATTAGCCGTCCAGTCTTTTCACATCAGTGGGAGGCTGAATGCTTGCTGTGTACGGGTCAGTTCTTGTGTAAAAGGATTAAACCAACAGCCTGTAATGAAGTGCTGCCCCTTTGTCACATGATGAAATGAAAAGATGAGCTGGAATGTTATGTTTTATTCTTAGATGCTGAAACTTGTTTTGATCTTTTCTGGTGTAATTTTAGCTCCGCAGAGATGTTTCCCAGAATTCTGTCCTTCATATTCTTAATATTGATCATGTGAAGCGGTTACAGTGTGAGAAATATTTAAGGATGGTAAATTTCTTTTCATCATGCAACGTCTTAGCAAGACAATAAGAAATGTACTGAACAGCATGGCTTGACAGTCGAAACGAGAACCTAAATAAAAATAAGACCGTTTAATTTAAAAAGGGACATTTTCCAAAAGACAAATGGAAGGTGGGCGTAATTAGGAGACATAAAACAGGTGCACAGGAATGAGAGACCGTGTAGTTAAAGTGGACATGAATGAAAACAATAAAATCCATTTGTCATGATTAAACTGCCCTTTTTGTAATTATAGCAATAAGAGGTATAAAAACCAAAGCACTTGGAAATCAAACCAAATCAGCTGCGATTCATTAAGCATTTTAAGTTTTAACTTGTTTTTCTACTTTTGTCTTTCATCTCAGCTCAGATAATAAAGCTCCATCAAACTCAACTCAAATATCAAATGAACTCCATTAAGAGTCGTGAGGTATTTGAAGTCATCTAAACAGAATTGCGATGAGGCCTGTGTGAGTCAGTCAAGGAGTTGTTTGTTCTTAAATTAATGTCTCAGCAATTTCTTACAAGGATGGGAAAACATGTTCATCCATAGCTCGCTTGTTAAAAACAGTTTTGAGTGGTAAACATGTTTGTGTGTCTAATTTTACATCTCAGTAGCCAACTCCTTCACCAAAGAAGGAATTGCATGCAAGTTTGTTCTGCATTGTTAAGCCCGTCCCAGTGGAGAAGTGGACTTTGTTTACATCTGGATGTGGTAGAATGTTATAAAAATGATGGACCCCGGAAGTTCAGGGAGAGATTTTCACTTATTCGACCCCAAGTCTCTTGATTTGGTACAGGCTGTTATTCTGAATAAATCTTTGCTGTTCAAGAATAACTTATGTCTACAGAGTCATTTCTTTAATCATCCTATCACTACTGAGATTTTGAAGACCCAGAAGATTGGTCATCATCAACATGTTTGCTCTTTTTGTGGATCTGGACAAAAAACGTCTCAGCTAGTTGTTCTTAAAAGAACTTTACAGTTCTAGATTAATGTCTTCACTTGAGTGATTGCACTTTTTTTTGCGCAGAAAATTGGAGAAAATACTTCCCACTTCTCAGCCGGATGTCAAGCTGAAGTACCTGACGGGAGAATGGTTCTACGAGGCCAAGTCCCGCCGACACAACGATACAATTCATGGATCTGAAATCATTCTGGCGGCCATGAAACAAGGGAAGACATCCTGTGTAGGTGTGTTGAAAAAAGCTGTTCTGTTCAATGTTGGGGTCATTTAACTTGAATTAACGGTACATTTAAACCTGCTTGGTTCTGGTGTTTTCAAACCTCTTTTTTTTTTTTATCCCCCTAAAGACGTGTCTCCAAGACTTGACAGATCCAGGTCACCTGGCAGTCGGGACTCAGGTGTCTTAGCTCCGCCCAAACCGGCCAGATGTTTTGAGACATCGGAGCCACAGGAGAAGAAGTATAATATCTGTTTTTATGTTCAGATTGTAAAAGAACACACATTATTATGTTTTACCTTTTAAATTGGCTCATTTAGCCACATTGAATCATAAATATATAATTGATCTGAAACTTATTTTTATATTAAATTAAATGAAACTTATTGGTAGACCGGACTGAAGACATGCCTTAGGCTGGATGTGGTCCACGGGCCGCCAGTTGAATAACCCTGCCCTAGTTTGTGACTTGCTAACTAGCTAACCAAATCACTTTACTAGGTACTAGGTTTGTTACTTAGGTGGTAATACTTTTTCTGCTTACTACATAAACTGTAGAATCACATTTGTTTACATACTGTCTGAACATATTTAGCTTGTAAATATTCAGTAGGAGGTGCAACTGGACAAAAGTTGTAGTTTAGCACCAACAAAGAAATTTACAAAGAGTTGAAAATTAATAATAAATTTTTATAAGACACGTTTTCATCTGCAGGAGTTTTTAGATGCCGACATGATCGAAAACTAAAAAACGAGCAACAAAAAAGTCAAAATATAAAGAAAAGACACGGATGTTATCGTTTAAAACGACTTTATAAAAACATACAAGAAAAGGAGTATCCTGTTTCTTATTGTGGTTTTATTCTTTTTGCACGTAAGTTTCCAAACCTGTAAGCAGTTGTTTTCAGAGTACATCATCTGAAAGGCATTCTGCCCCTCAGTCTGACTAAATGTGTGTCTTTGGTGTGTGAGTGTCGTCTTGTGACTCTGCTTGTGTAAATATACATACAGAGGTGGTGCAGACTGGAAGCGCTCTTTTTTATAACCCAAACTGCACAACACGGACAGGGAACATAAATTAAAGTTTAGTTCAATGAGGGATTCTTTCAAAACCAAATTCCCAGTAGTTACCTCAGAAAGTTGTTTGAACAAAACTAAATGAGTGTTGATGAAACGTCGAGACACAGCTGAGATATTTACGACTTTTAAAGCAGAATTAATATTTGCCTTCGCTTCAGTAGGTACAGAGGAACATTGCTTCAAACATTTTTCTAAATCCATAAATCCTTCTCAGCTGTTTAAACAGCAGCAGCAAAACACTAACATGCATCAAATGGTTTGCGAAGGATGTAAAAACAAACATTCAGCAACCAAGATATACTTTATTTCAACACTCGAGTCACTGCAGAGCAGTTTTATTTTCAGCAAATGTTATTTT